GCTGGACAACAAAGATGAAATTTATAAATTTCTAGAAACATACAATATTCCAACCTGAATCAGGAAAAAATAGAAACTCTGAAAAAATAACTAGTAACAAAATTGAATCAGTAATGAAAGAAACCCCAACAAACAAAAATCCAGGACCCAACAGTTTGCTGAATTATACAAAAAAACTTAGAATTATTACCTATACTTCTCAAATTATTCCAAAAAAATTTAAAAAAGGAATACTTAAAACTCATTATATAAGGCCAGCATTACCCTGAGAGAGAGAGAGAGAGCCCAAATAAAATCATAAATGAAAGAGAAGTTACAACCAACATCACAGAAATGCAAAAAACCACACAAACACACTACAAAAAAAAAAAAAGTACCTATATCCCATCTATGAACATTGATGTAAAAACCCTCAAGAAAATATTAGCACACTGAATTCAACAATATATTAAAAGGTTCATATACCATGATCCAGTAAAATTTATTCCAGGGATGCAAAAATGATCCAATATCAGCAAAACAATAAACATAATAAACCACAATAACAAAACAAAAATAAAAATCCTATGAACATCTCAAATAGATGCAAAAAATCACTTGACAAAATATAACATCCATTTAAGATAAAACTTTCAACAAAGTAGAACTAGATGGAACATATCACAATATAATACAAGCCATGTATAACAAACCCCCAGCTAACATACTCCATGGTGAAAAGCTAAGAACTTTTCCCCTAACATCAGGAACAAGACAGAATGCCTGCCTTCACCAATTTTTTTAAATTGTTTTTATTTATAGTTGACATACAATATTATATTAGTTTCAGGTGAACAACATAGTGACTCAACATTTATTTGCTTTACAAAGTGATCACCACAATAATTTTAGTAACCATCTGTCACTGTACATAGTTATTACAATATTATTGACTCTATTCCCTATGCTACATAGTGCATCCTCATGACTTCTTTTATAAGTATAAATTTGTACTTCTTAATCCCCTTCAGTTTTTCTGCCCACCCTCCAATCCCCCTCCTCTCTGGCAACCATCAGGTTGTTCTCTGTATCTAGCACCTCACACCTGTCAAATGGCTATGATCAAAAAGTCAACAAATAATAAATGTTGGCAAGAATGCAGCCCTGGCCGGTTTGGCTCAGCGGTTAGAGCGTCGGCCTGCGGTCCTGAGAGACCCGGGTTCGGTTCCCGCTAAGGGCACGTACCTCGGTTGCAGTTTGTCCCCGGCCCTGGTCGGTTGTGTGGGTGGCAGCCACTCGATGTGTTCCTTTCACATCGATGTTTCTCTCTCTCTCTCTGTTCCTCTCTCTCCCTCCCACTCTACCTGAACAAAAAAAAAAAAAAAAAAGAATGCAGAGGAAAGTGAAGCCTTGTGCCCTGTTGGGATTGTCAACTGGTGAAGCCACTGTAGCAAACAGTATGGAGGTTCCTCAAAAAATTAAAATTAGAACTACCTTTCAAACCAGCAACTCCACTTTTGGGTATTTTTCCAAACAAAACAAAAACACTAATTTGCACCCCTATGTTAATCACTGTATTATGTACAATAAAAGATGTGATACATGCACGCATGAGCGCGCACACACACACACACACACACAATGGAATATTACTCAGCCATAAAAATAATAAAATCTTGCCAGTTGCAACAACATGGATGGAAACAGACATTTTATGCTATGCTAAGTAAAAAAGTCACACAAGACAAATACCATATAATTACACTTATATGTGGAACAAAAAAATACAAAAAACAAAACAGACTCATAGAACAGAGAAAAAACTGATAGTTGCTCCCAAAAGACAGTTTTGGCAGGATAGGTGAAAAAGATAAAGAGAAAAACGAGGTTCAGACTTCTAGTTATATAATAAGTCATCGGGGTGTCATTTACAGCATAGGGAAAATAGTCAATGATATTGAAATAAGTTTGTATGGTGACAGTCGGTTACTATACTTATTTTTGTTATCACGTTGTAAAATACATAAATGTAAAAATCACTATGTTATACACCTGAAGCTAATATAATATTGTAAGTCAACTATACTTCAATAAAAAAATATATACTTTTTTCTTTAACTGAGAAAGAAAATACCTGCTCTTTAAGCAGGGACCATCTGATGGGCTCACCTCACTCATGGGGTATAATCATGCTAGCACATACCCCCAGCCCGGCTACCTAAGACTCACCCTAATGTTAAGGAGGACTCAGCCTGAGTCACACTTTCACTCTAAACACACAGATAGGCTCCAACCAAAACAGTGACCCAAAACCACTGTAAAGAGAGTTCCACTCCCAAAGTCCTGCTCCCAAACAACAAGGAATGATTAAAACTGCCAACTCAAAGTCCTCTGGCTACAGAACCCAGGCTCTGTGAGGTCAGTAATACAACTCAGAGCAGCACAGCTCACAGGAGAGGTCCCAGCAAGCAGCAGCTCACAGAGCAGAAGCCTCCAGGTCCTTATAAGCCTGAGAGATAAGGACAAGGGGAAGGGGGTGGGGAGAGCTTAAGTTTTCAGGAGCCAAACATCAATCATGTGGAACCTGACCACTTTTGACAAGAACAAACACAAGTAAGAAAAATAGGCTTTAGCTTGTTTTGGCCTGTTTTCATATAAACACTACGAGGACCATATAGAAGTGATTCAAACTATCGTGTTGAGGATGGCTAAACATAGAGCACTGGAGTGGACCAGGACATGTGGTCAGGAAGTCTTCTTAAGCTACACTTCTATTTTAATCAACCTTCCAATGCACCACTTTCTTAAAATAAGGAGAAATTTTATATATACTCTATTTTCTATGCTTAATCAGTATTTTAAATTAACTTTTACTTTTAAAATTAATTTAACTATTTTATACAGAACACCACTCTAAGATGTAATCCTTTAAACACCAAAAAATATAAAACTGCACACCATCAAAAAGTCACAAATTATAACACTTTGTACACTGTACTTCACACTTGTATTTTCCAGATTGAGTAGCATATTATGCATTAGAGGTTTGCAACAAGGCCCTGAAATGAACTTGTTTTAATTACGTCAATGAAAATAAAAATTCAACTATTTTCCCTCACATCCATTAAAATAGAAATTCATTTGCCTTAATAGTGTAGACTTTTAAATGTCAAAGTTCTCTAGAGTCATAAACATACAAAAAGTGACCTAAAAATGAAAAAAATCACCTGAGAACTTAAAAACACCCATCTCCCACCTTAAAGTTCTCTTCCATAAAAAAAAAAAAAAATTTGGTTCCACAATTATCTTACATTATATATATGGTATCTTTCAATCAACTTACATATTAAAAGCACAAATGTTAATAAAAACTAGATTCAAAGAGCTGCAATATTCAATGGAGAAAGAAATCCAATGAAAGGAAACAACAATATTGGAATCAAGAAAGATAAGCAGCTTGCTACAGCTCAGAAGGAAACACACACTCAGAAAGCTGAAAGTTTCCACTAAGGGTCTAGACACTCCCTGCTGAGATAAAACCCCTGGAGTCAGTCAGTCCCTGGGGAAGGACCACAGGTGACACCTGAGCAGCCAAGAGTGAACTCTGGGAGCTCCACACACTCTCCTCTCTCCCCTAAGCATGGAAGCTCTCCCTCCCTGGGGCTTCAGTTCTCACAAGTGAGGCAACTCGTAGCCTGATTCAGTTTAAGTTCTGATCCAAATGAACTCCCCAACTCACAAATCTTTTGTCTACAAGACAAAACACCTGATCTTCACAGACTTGCTCAATGTATACAAACCTCTGAATTCAAACCTCAAAGTAAACTCTAGAAATGTTTAGGTCTAAGGATCCACAACCACAGAAAGGGCATCAGCACCCAAGGCCTCGCACTGCATGCCCACTTCCAGGGCTAGATATCTTTTCTCATGAATCTATTGAACAATTCTGCTCTGCAAGGCCAAGCCCTGGAACTGTATTTTAAAACACTCCAAAAACAAACCTCAGAAACTTACTACACATGCTCAGGAAGGATGAAAGAAAACGTCTAGAAGTGAAATGTAATAGTGGAATATTTTATTTTTTTCTGCATTCTCCTCTTTTTGCCTGTTTGGAACTCTTTTATATTGTCTTTCCAGTTCTATTTATTAAATACATTTTACCCCTATTAAAAACTGAGACTTAAGTCAATAAATGTTGTCAAGGTAGCAAACGCGGGGAAGAGGCAGTGTTGACAGGACAGATCACCTGGGAGAGTCTGTGCCCTGGAAAGACCCTGGGGGAGAGGAACAGAGAAGTCATACAACGTCTTCCAGGTACTTTCTCTAGGCTTTCTTCTCAAGGAAAATATCCAGACAAATAAAATTCTCTAAAAAAGAGCATTCCATTATTCCGTAAAACAAAAAAAAAGTAAATAAACAATGAAAATATTGAGTCTGTTTGAAGCGCACCCTGGAGGACAAATAGTTGATCATGACGCTGTAACTCAGAGAGGGAACGTTGCTTTGGGTATTTGAGGACTGACCTGGAAATTCAGGGATCTATTGCCGGTTTTAGTAAGGGCCCACCTGAGGGAACAGGGTCCTGGATTTGAGACCCTGCTTCCCAAACAGTTAGAGAACTCATAAAAGACGGTTCCTCCCGAGGAGAAAGGAGGGCCTGGGGACCCCTCAGACCACAGCTCCTCCCCTGCACCGACCCGCAGACGGAGTCACGATCGTCCCTGATGACCGTCGCGTGGTCACCGCGCCGTCTGGGGCGAGGGGCGAGGGGCTGCGGGCGCACAGCTGCCCACAGAGCCTGCGGCTGAAGCCCCCGGCACCAACAGGACAGCGCTCCCAGGTCCCTGTTCCCAGCCCGGCCTGCTGTGAGCTGGAGGGGCCGGCGGAGCCCCAAAGCGACTCAGTCTGCAGACTCAGACTAGACGGAGGGGAGGCCCGTCCTACCACAGCCGGCTCCAGCCGGTTCCAGCCAGTTCCAACCAACCCTCCTCCCTGACGCCCCACCCGGCCCACACACTTACCATTCCTGGGTTTCTACGTCTTCCCGGGAACTGCCTAAACTTGCACCACGCGTGCAGATCGCTGCGCCTCCGAGCCCACAGCAGAGCCACCGGGGACCGTTATGTACAGACGACGCGCATTCCGAGCCGCGCCTGAAGGTGCTTAGGTGGCCACGCCCACGCGGTGCCTCACCCCACCCACCTGCCCCAGCGGCACCCCTGATTGGACAATTGCTGTTGGCGCGCCCCCTCTGCCTGAGTGGCAGCCCGCTGCAGGACCCTAGACTTAGAATTAAAACAGAACTTTTTCCTGGCCTGGGGCCGACTGTCCTGTGTTGGCCCAGCTCTTTGTGAACACGTGGGCACAAGTGTGCACAGGGAATTCCTGATTCAGTTTTCAAATGGTGACATGAGGGTGACCCAGGCCAGGCCACACTGGAACAAGAGGGTTTATATAGTTCTCTACAGGTCAAGGGCTTAGTGCATGGCTGTCAAACCACTCCTGGTACTCAGACTCTTTAGAAACACCAACACTTAATGCGATCTCACCACCTGTCATAATGAGTGGCTCCACTTCAGTCTTTGATGCTTCCCAACAATTCCTTCTTCAGCCCCAGTCATTCTGTCCTTAAGAGGAGAAATCTCAGAGCACTTGGCTCCGGTGGAAAGTTGGAACCTGGCAGACCCAGCCTGGGCACAAGGACCCTTCTCAGTCCAAACACAGGGTGTGAGACGTGTTCATTAAATTCTCAGGTGTACATTTTACACTGGAAAGAAATTTAATTTAATTTTTGCCTGTCTCTAGAGAACTATTAAATGTAAATAACTATAATATCCCTAAGGCAATTGATTTCTATTTTCACTGATATAAGAAAAACAATAAATCATTATGTAAACTTGGGATACATCTGGAAACTTTCTCTCCCCACCCCACCGCACTTTATTGAGGTATAATTGACAAATAAAATTGTCTATATTTAAAAATCATAATATGATGATTTGATATATATATACTATACTGTACACTTAAAATTTACTAAGCGTGGACTAAGCTTTCTCACCATACACATATGCACAAAGTAACTGTAAAACAATGGATGTTTTCATTAATCTGGAAGCGCTTATATGCTTAAGTGATTGGATTGCAAAACTTTTTTAACTTATTTATATGAACAGCTTTATTGATATATAATGCACATATTATACAGTGCAACCCAAGTAAAATGTACAATTCAACAGTTTAATAGTTTTTAATAGATTCTCAGGTGTGCGCAATCATCGCCACAGTCAATTTTTAAACATTTGACCTCTCTAAAACAAATTCCTCTACACTTTGCTACACTCCCAACATTTCTATCTTCCTCCTCCAATCCCCAGCTTTAGGAACCCCTAATCTATTTTCTGTCTCTATGTATTGCCTTATTTGGGCTCTCAAATAAACAGAATTATATATGACCTTGTGATTGACTTCATTCACTCAGCATAACTTTTTTCAAGGAGCAACCATGTTGTAGCATGTACCAACACTTCATTTGTTTTAATGGCCAAATAATATTCCATTATATGGATAAATACTGTCTATCTGTTCATCTGTTAAGAGACATTTTGTTTGTCTTTACTTTTTGGCTACTATTAACAACACTGCTATAATATTCAAGTATAAACTTTTGTTCAAACATGTTTTCATTTTTTTTCAGTACATATGTATGAAAAGAGTTGATGGGTCATATGGTAATTTTAGGTTTCATTTTTGAGGAACTGCCAGACTGTTTTCCAAGTGGTCATACTATCTGTAGAATGAAACATTTGAAGTGTTGATAGAAAAAAACAAAACACCTAACTAAACTTGTCTGTTGAGCAACATTGTCCTTCAAGCCCCAGCCAGTGTGACTCAGTGGTTGAGTTATCAACCCATGCACCAAGAGGTAGCTGGTTCAATTTCTGGTCAGGGCACAGCAGGGTTTCATGCTCAGTCCCCAGTAGGGGGCGTGCAGGAGGCAGCAGATCAATGTTGATATTTCTCTCTCATTGATGTTTCTATCTCTCTCTCGCTCTCCCTCTCTCTAAAAAAAAAAAATTTATTGTCCTTCAGCCCAGCCAGTGTGGCTCAGTGGTTGAGCGTCAACCCATGAACCAAGAGGTGGCTGGTTCAATTTCCACTCAGGACACATGCCCAGGTTGTGAGCCCAATCCCAAGTGGGGGTATGAAGAAGGTGGCCAATAAATGTTTCTATTTCTCTCTCCCTCTCCCTTCCTCTCTCTCTAAAATCAATAAAGAAAAAATATTTTTAAAATTATCCTTCAAAAGTGAGGGATAAAAAGACTTTGTGAGATGAGCATATATTGAGGGATGAGCATATATTGAGGGAATTGGTCACCAGTATACCATTTTTGCAAGAAATGTTAAAGTAAATTCTTCAAAAGGAAGGAAAATGATGAAGGTAGGGTGTTTGAGAAGAAATCAATGAGAGGAAAATAATATCACTTAACATTTTTTTTATTAATCTGACAACACTTTATTCAAAACAATACTGACAAGAATGTATTGAGTAATTCTAGCTTACGGATAAGTAAAATAAATAACAGAATATTACAAGGCACAAGGAGAAAGGAAATGGGAATACTCTATTAAGAGAAATTTACTCAACCAGTGAAGTGGTTCGTGTTATTTGAAAGAGAACGTGGGTTAACTGTTGACTATATACTGCAAATTCAATAGCAAGCAATTAAAACTATAGAAGTACAATTTAAAAAGAAAAAAGATGGAAGACAATTGGGAAATGACAAGGGCAAGAAATAAACAACATAGCCCTGGAAGGTTTGGCTCAGCAGTTAGAGCATCAGCCCTTGAACCAAAGAGTCACGAATTCGATTCCAGCCAAGGGCACATACTTGGTTTCGGTTCTTCCCCAGCCCTGGTCAGGATCATGCTGGAGGCAACTAGTCAGTGTGTCTCTCTCACATTGATGTTTCTCTCTCACTGATGATGTTTCTCTCTCCTTCCCACTCTATCTGAAGATAAAATGGAAAAATATCCTCAGGTGAGGATTAAAAAAATAATAAATAAAAAGGATATCTTTAAAAAAACAAAAAGAAATAAACAACACAAAGATTATGGCATAGTTTACAATAATCAGACTATAATGTTTAAATATGCAAAATAATCAACAGTAATGTTGTACTTGTTTACTGAATGTATATTTGTCCCATGGGTCGTACACATAGACACATATGCACACAAATTCCTGCATTGAGAATTCTTCAACTATGCTACAGAACATAGCTGAAGCTGTTATTTTAAGTCAGAAAGAATGTTAACCTGTCATGAAGGTATAAAATCATTTAGGAGTGAATGTACCATCCATGAGTACTTATACTCTAAATCCCCTATACTACATCTATATTCTGAGAGAGGGAGATCAATTGATTGCCTCCCATATATTCCCCAGGATCGAACCCTAAACCTAGGCATGTGCCCTGACCAGGAATCGAACCCACAAACTTTTGGTGTATGGAACGACGATCCAACCAACTGAGCCACCTGCCCAGGACTACAGAGGGTTTATAGGGCAGTAAAAGTATTTCATATGATATGGAAAAGATTGACGCACCTCATTTTACATTGCCAAACACCAGAGACTGCACAACACAAAGAATGAAAACTAATATAAGTGTCCTGGCAAGGCCTCACATTGTGGCCTTAGTATACGTAGAGACAGGTGTAACCTTTTAGTATATGTAGAGACTGGGGCTACCTTTTAGTATATGTAGGGACAGGTGTTACCTTGATTTATACTGTGGTTAACTCTGAGGCAAGACAGTTCCAGAATTTTTTTACCTCGGAAGATTCCAAAATGGCTGTGGAGTGAATGGAAGCTACACAGACCATCTATCAGGACCAAACTGGAATTACAACTAAAATAAAGACAAATCATTGGAAAAAAGCAACAGAAAAGCAGCTTGCGAGGATCGTATAACCAGGGACACTGACTCAATCCTGGTAGGATAGCACAGGCGCAAGAAGGGGGCTGGGAACCCACAGATAGCAGCACCTTGGCTGTAAGCAGTGCCCTCAAATTAAACTTCCAATAGCTCCACAGTCCAGAACCCAGACAGATGTTGAAATAGCCACAGCCACTCAGGTTGGGATCCAGCAGAAGGCGAGCAGACTGGACTGGAACTGTGTGGGGACACTCAGGATTTGGAGGGCACTCAGAGCTTTCGCTGAGTTGCAGCCACGCAGGATGGTGGCCAACTTACTCCTTCCCTGGGCTCAGAGGAGAGGCAGTGGCCTCTCCCTCGGAGGTTCAACCCCACCCAGGTGGGCCATTGAAATGCAAATTGAGGCTCATTAACAACCAGCATCTGCCCCACCCTAGGGAAATCCCCTTATGCTGAGCAACTGAGGGAGTTTTTCATTCAACTGAGAAGCCAAGGCTCTTCAAGTAACTGCGACTAATAGCCTCCAGGCTAAAAGCTAGAGGATAACTGAACAATTCCTGGGCTAGCAACTCTAACCAGGAAAGTAAGACTTGACAGTGGTATTTAACATGGGTCCTCCCTCACTCATCCAAACCCAGGAGAGGGAGCCACAACAACAGAACACCAACATCCACAGGGAAAATTTGGCAAGCTCCAAAGCCCACTGTGATAGCCAAAATGGTGAAACAAAGAAACAAAAGCCAAGTGAAAGAACAAGAGACCTCTACTGAAGATGAGATAAATGTGGAGCAGTTAAGCAAGTTAACAGAGCTAGAATTCAGAGCCACGATCTTGAGGAAGCTCTACAGCATGAGTAAGGATATCAACACCAGGAGTAAAGACATAGAAATGTTGAAAATCAACCAATTAGAAATTAAAGACCTCCAAGAAGAAATCAAGAATGACACATCACAGAAAAAAAAACACACTGGAAGGTCTAACAGCAGAGTAGAGGAAGCTTAACAGCAGGGTAGAGGAAGCTGAGGACCAGATCAGTGAATTAGAAGACAGGGTAGAAAAAATGAACCAATCAGAAAACCAAGAGGAAAAAACAATTAAAAAACAGGAAGACAGCTTAAGAGAACTGTAGGACAACTGGAAACATAATAATATTCGCATCATAGGAGTCCCTGAAGA